TCCCTACGCCATCGCCGGCCCGCCGAACGGCCCCTTCGCCGGCTCCGCATCCTCCGACGTCCGCGCCGCGCCGTGCGCCCCCTCGCCCCGCACCGCGCCGCCCCTTGGGCGCCCCGGCCGCGCGCTGCTGCCCAGCCGCGGGGCCTCACGCCCTGCTGCTGCCTTGCCCCGCTCACCCCGCTCACCCCTGGCTCGCGCCCTCCAGCACTACCCCTCACCCCTTCTTTCAACAACGAAGGGGCGCCACTGCGATGCTGGCGCCCAACACCCTGATCGACGCGCAGCACCGCCGCCAGGACACGGGCGAGCGCGCGCCGCCGCCGCAGTCGCACTGGCGGCGCGCGTGGGCGCGGACGCAGCCGACGCTCGACGACAAGACGGAGCGGCGCCTGCTGCACGCCGGGCTGCAGTTCCAAAACGCGATGAAGGTGCGGCGGCAAGCGCGCGGGCGCGCGCGGGGCGCAGGAGGGAGGGCGGCCCACGGCCTCGGGCACAGGGCGCTAGCGGATCCGCCAGGTGCGCCGCTCGTCGTGCGCCCAGCCTGCCGTGGCGGCGCCCGCGCCACGTTGTGCAGCCGGGCATAGAGCACTATTGAGAGTGAAAGCTTTAGTCCAGGGAATTTTCAGCCCAGTCAGGTGCTTTGTCTTGTCTCCCCGAATTGCTTGTTCTGACTCTCGCATTGTTGACCCCTGTGATCTCCTCGTGTCCCTTCGTCCGCCCCCGAAGGCCCTGGACCAGGAGCAGCAGGCGATCCTGGAGCAGCACCGCGACATCAGCAGCCCGGCAGCTGCGCAGCAGCTGGAAGAGCGCCTGCAGCAGGTGAGGGGGCTGGCGCTGCCCTGGGCTGCCGTCGCTGCCTTGGGCGTGCAGCAGCCGGCAGCCCGGCAGCCAGTCCCGGGGACGGCCTTTGGCATGGGCGCCGGGCGCGGCTGCGTGGGGCCCGCAGTTGTGCAACTGCGGCGAGGGCCAGGCGGGCACGCCCGTGTGGCTGCCGGCAGCGTTGCGGTTCACCCCGAAATGGCGAGGCCGGCCGTCGCGCTCCTGAGTCCCTCTAGACGCCGCTTCCCGGGCCGCCGCTTACGCTCCCGCCCGCGCCCGCCCCCCGCCAGGTGCTGGCGCGGTACCAAGCGACGGCGCTGACTCAGCACCTCTTCACCATCTTCACGCCGACGTCCGCAATGTGCTGGGTGGGTGGCGCCGCGCCCGCGCCCGCGCCCGCTCCCCCGCCCGCGCCCGCACAGCGCAGCGCCGCGCTCTTCGACTGCCACCCCGGCGCGCAGCGCGAGGGCTGCCCCCCAAAGCGCCCCTCGCGCCGCGCCAAGCGCCCGCCGCCCTCGTCGCCCTCGTCGCTCCCGTCTAACCCGGCCGCGCGCCGCGTCCCCCCGCCCCGCGACGCCCCTGGCGCCGCAGGCTAACATGTGGGTGGGGTCTTACCCTTTCATCCCCCCCGCACACTCGGAGGTCTTTGCTGAGATGCTGCGGGGCCACCTCCTCCGCCTGGCGGACCGCCACGCCCCGCGCGAGCCCCGCGCGCCGGGATGACGGCCGGCGGGGAGGCCCGCGCCCGCGGGCCCCACCATCCTGACCACCACGCACGCTGCTCCGTCGTCCGTTGCTGTGGCGGGAGGGGACGGCCGCGGGGGTCGCGGCGGCTGGCCTGTGGTGGCCGTAACACGCTGCCGTTGCATTCTGTCAGTTTAACGGGTGCCCTGCCTCTGGGGACCGCCTCATCAGGACCTCCTTGGTTCCTGGTTGACCATCACTGCCAAAGGCAGCGCATCCATTTTATGCCGGCCAACTCACCATTTGCTCTGTGTCGGGGGCGCGAGGGACGGGGGTTAATTTTCGATTCGAGCAGCACACGCTCTGACCAGCGGCCTGCGCGCCGTGCGCGGCGCTCGTTTTCGCAGCAACGCTGCGGAGGGCGCTGGTTTTCTTGCCGGCGGGCAGGCGTCTGGAGGTTTGTATCAAGACGGTATCGTGGGGCGCCGCTCGCCCGGCGAAAGCCTGGTGCGCGCTGTTTGTTTGAGGGCTACGCGGGGGCATGGCGGGGCGCTCTGTTGGAGGCGCGTGGTCGCGTGCCCAAGATACGCCAAGTCAAGCCGGGCCGTGGCTGTGGGCAAAGTCGACGCCGTTGGTTGGTGCGTATCCTTTGGCCAAGTCTTTGAATAATGGGGCATGACGAACTCTCCAACCTCTTTGATTGAGGGCGCAGCGCCCCCCACCCCCAACCTGTCTGCCGTCCATCGCATGGGCGCTCAATCGCTCACGCGCCCGAAGCAGGGCAGCTTCCCCTCGCGCCGCCCCGATTGATGGCGGTGTGGGGTGGGGGCAGCGTAGTGCGGCTGGGAGGCGCATCTCTGCCTCCACGGAGCTGGAAATCCTGTAGGCAGACGCTGCCTTACGGCGTGCCTGGTTTTGTTTAATCTTCTTCCTGCCTGGGTTGCTGTACTTCACCCTCCCTTTTTATCCCCCTTCTTTGTGTGGGTCTCGGCCCTCCCACGGTCAGCACTGGTACAGAACACAACCGGCGCGTGATGGCCGACAGCTGACATGTGATTAGGCTTCTGCAATGGGCTGTGTGCTTTCGATGCACAGGAAATCCCGCGCTGACGGTCCTGGGCCCGGCCGCAATCGCTGTGCTGGGTTTGCGCCGGCGGTGGGGCGGGCGGTACAGGCAGCCGCGGAGGTTTTGGGCAGCTGACGACGCAAGCAATGGTCGTCTGCGATTCGGTTGACTCCACAAAACGCGTTGAGAAGTGTTAAAAGCCTGACTGATACCTTCACTTGCGAAGTTGCGATAGATCACTGCGGCGGGGAGCGGTGCTGTCGAGCAAAACAGGAACCTAGCAGATAATCTGCACATTTTTTAGTCGCGACATTCTGCTTGATCTACAGGTCCAGCGCGTCCACAGTGAGCCCGGTGACTGTGGGCTGCTGAGCGCTGGTATCCCGACGTAGCAAGCACAGCCACATACAATGTTCCGCGGCGGGCGTGGAGGCGGGCGCGGCGGCGGCCGCGGCCGCGACGGCGGCGGCAGAGGCGGCGGCCGCGGCTTCGGCG